TTATATGTAACTCAGAAATTTCAAGAACGGCGTTCCACCGTTTTATTAAAATACAAATCTTAAAAAATACAATCACATTAATAAATCTCATTTTTTCGAATGTAATATGTCTCGTGAAAATATTAGATATCATTATGGGTACCACTTATCCTTATCTTATATTACAAATACATAGTTAGAGGCATCAGGTTTAGTGCTGGGATGACAAGAACATATCTGGGTTAGTATTAAATTTTATTGCAAACTATCAGTTTTCTCAAGGGTACCCATATGGTCGACAAATGTAAGATGTCATTACCCATGACAGCTACATTCAAGACTATAAATTAAATAGATGGAATAACTAGACCCTTCCTTAATGACCATTAAGAATGAAAGAAAATCTATTTATGTTTTTATATACATCAAGTTTATGACTTCAAACAATTTGTAGATTAGGTCTTCTTAATCCTAATAAAATAATATAAAATTGTTTTTACTATCTGCCTGTTACACATTTAAATAAATTAAGCAATTTATTAAATACTCTTAGGTAGAGAAAACTAGTAGTAGACTAACGAAAAAAGTTTTAATTTGAAAGCTGTTTATTTTACAATTCAATTTGATGTCTAAGAAAAATGAATTATTAGTTTTTAGAATCAATATTTATTTATTAGATATAATGAATAGGCATCAATTTGCCGAAATCTTTAGTAGCCAACAAGTTGCTCTTAACATTGATGAAAAATAAGTTTATGATCAAAATTATTGATAAAAATAATAAAAAAAACTTTGTTTTTCTGAGGATGAGAAGGATATTCTTCATCCATAGTATCTTTAGACATTAATGGACAGTTGAGAAGTTTATTTCCACACAAACAAAGCTCATTATGCCATCCATCATCAGGTTATTGGATGATTCGAGTCTTAAACACCTGGTATCACGATCGTAATCCATCATTGTAAAACGTACTTTTCGGACAATGTTTCAACCTATTTGTGTTTTATAAGTTGAAATGGAAATCAAAACTTTCCTCGTATATTATTTCTTATATAATTATAAAAAATGAAGTGAAAGCAGACTTTTTTATTTAAAAATATTTTAATCGCGGTATATTTGTATTTGCAGATTTATATTATATACCTATTTAGGAGACATAAGTCTGTGTTCTATTGGTGTTCTAGAGAAAACCTTCTAAGATACAAACGTGCACCGAATCATTTTATTTTCTTTAGTGCGTTTTAATCATAAATACACCTATAAACTTAAATATCTAAACCAATTCAGTAGGAAGTAAAATACACAAAGTTTGTAAGCTAATATTTACTTGCATGCAGATGAATCACATACATCATTAATCAGTCAATCACGAAACGAAATAGCGCAATATTCGTTTGACGTTCACAAATTTATATGCAATTTATGCAACTCTGCCCGTTTGAATATTCCCATTCTAAATATGCGATATCTTTCGTTAAATCATGACACGTGATTTTGCACAACACTACAGGATAAGTTGAGTTGCATACCGCTGAGTGATTCACGGTAGTCTATTATTGAAACATCAATCTAACCTAATTAATATCTGTAAATAAAAATTATACAAGCGTCCAAATGATTCCATAAATACTGATAAAAGACTTAACAGTGCACTTGATACTCTTTGCATATGGTATTTTCAAAAATAATATAATTTTTTGAGCTATTGTCCCTAATCGAGATTTGAATTAATTCGATAAAACATTTAATGCTAATTAGCGTTATTGATTATTATCTATAAGAATAAAAATTCTATATATACATAATAATATTAATTTAAAATTAAATAATATTATGAAACCCAAATAACATTCACGAATACCAGTGTAATCGAAGTATAGGTCGCCAACACAAAAATTATTTATATATGAACAAATCTTCTTAACAAATAGGCTGAACCTAATTTTGTTCATGCCATTTATAATCCGTGTCAATGTAAACAAACGTCATCTAGAGATCCAATAATACAGACGTAATAACAATATTTCATGACCAACATGACCCAAAAAGGAATCAGGTTGTTTCGTCTTGACCCGTATCCAACAATAAGATAATGTTGCAAATTCAGGGTCTACTTAGCACCCCACGCCTTCTTTTTCGGCCTTAATTGAAAGTGGCAGTTATACATTTGATTGTTCCACTACATTTTATTAACTATTACGTTTCGCATATATAAAGCTATCAATAATTATAAGCGTCTTTTAAACTTAGTAGTATATACATAATATAATATGTAATATCATGTTTCTAATTTAATAATTTTATTTCATTAGCATTTTCCAAGGGTGAGCAATCTTGTTAAAATTGATTATATAGAATTTAAGCTGATTCAGGAGCTTAAATTTCGCTCTCGTTTAGTCTGTTGTTAATGTACTAAATTAAAAGCGGTAAAGATACTTTTTTATATTTTTAAATTTTCCTAAGCAAAATATTAATATCATAAAACATGTTTCATCGAGGTTTATTAACTAATTTTAATACTATGCTGAAATTTTGACAAAATTTGGTTAATAATGGCCAATTTATTATAAAACAGTTGTCTATGACACTGATTAAACCAAAGACGTGTTTATTAAACAAATATTTTATATTGGTAATCTGTTTTACTAAGCCGAGATGATATAATTATTTATCAACAACGTCTAGACGAATTTACTTTTAACTTTAATATCGTTCTAAATACTTTTAAATGACATCTAAAAGTAGATCTAAGGATATATCTTCATTGTTTATTTAGTATATTTTATATTTGCAGACACATTTACTACAATAGAAGCATAAGACTGCACCCACACAATGTTAAGTTTAACGATAGTTTTATAATGCAATACTCTTATATTTATCCTTTGAATTTTCCAGTCATATGCCCTTATATATTGCCTTTTATTGGACGATGTCATTCAAAGTGAAATGAAAAAATCTAAATCTATTTTAATCTCAAATTGTATAAGAAGCCAACAGAGCTTATTGATCTTGAGTACACAATCGAATTAAAGAGAAAACATGACAAATTGTATGCGCCATCGATGTCAACTGTCCATTAAGTAACTAATAATAATGTGACTTTATTAAGAAAATATAATCCTTAAAATATCTGAAATCCAATCTATATGTTTGTTTATTTACATACATGAAATGAATTTCGATGCAACACTGTACTGTTATCTGATTCATAGATTCCTAGGATGGCAATTTATATGTCGATGCATGATATGCGGTGTCTTACACGTGCACACGAGTGGGTGATTGCAATATGACTTTAAAGATTGTTTTATTACAGAATATATATATATATATATATATATATATATATATATATATATATATATATATATATATATATATATAATATAATATGCATCAAAATTACGAGTATTTTAATTTAGACTTGACATTTTAGAAGTCTCTTTAAAACTTGGATGAGTATAGAAAATGTTTTACTTATGACTCTCCTTCTTCTTCTACCTGGCAATTTCCCAGCTACAGCCAGGGTCTGCCTTACATGTTGTGAATAGTTTTTAGCTATTTGTTTTTACGACCGGCCGCCTGCCTGACATCAACCCTCTTTTGTTAATCAACATTAATCAGTGATGTCTATATACTCTTAGAAAGTACATATGATTCCGAAAAATCACATTGGTACTTGCCCGGGCCAGGATCAAACCCGCGCCCTCGGCGACGAGAGGCGGGCCCTTTAACCACTGAGCCACCTATGACTCTATCTATATGAAATTTTTATTATAGAATTCTATTATTCTAGACAATTTTCATATAATTTTAAAGCTTATTAAGTAGATTCATAATACATAAATATTGCTTTGATATTTGTGTTGATTTAATAAATGAGAATAAATTTCCTTAATTAGGCCACATAAAAACTGTTAAGTTGAGTTTCATCGTGTCATCAATCTTTTATTATTAAGTTGGCACACAGAGGGTTTCATTAATCTTTCTTATGATTTAGAGAGAAATTACTTAAAGGAAAATAAACTATTGAAGTCATTATACGATTACTCTTTCTAAACACCGCTCCTTAATTGTTTATCTTTACGTACAACATTGATTTTATGTTTAATTCCTAACATGATCTCTCGTATTCCGTCGAAATGAAACTCTCAACTTTTTTATTTTCCGTTATCACGATATTAACTTTTCCAACAATATTTCCAAGAAGAGAAAAATGTACGCATGTTTAGACTTTAATGTTTGTTAAGTTGATAAGAAAATGTTTGTAACCGATGTTTTTGCCAGATGAATTTTATATATATGTACAGTTTGAAAGAATCTTTCATAAGTCGAATATAAAATATACATTAAATATTATTATATATTACCACTTCATATTAATAAATATTAAAGCTGTACAGTAATCTTTTGTCGGACGTCATTAAGATTATAGAAAAAAATAGAGCACTTAAATTATTTTTATATAGTTTAGTTTGGTTTTTTATTTTTAATAAATCCTATAACAAAAGCTAAATATTTGAAAAGCTACACTTCAAAAAAATTTATATGTTTTTTATATTTTTATAAAAACTACTACAATAAAAATATTTACAATTGACGTCTATTATCTAGTATATTGTAAATTATTACTTATAACAAATAGCAAATAATATACCTATATCAATCAATTATTTGAAACAAACATTTTGTATATAATCAAAATAAATTATACACGCTGTATAAAAGGTACAATAATATCATTAACGAATAAATTATCATTGACATTTTTATCGTCTAACTAATTGCAGCCCTAAATCATTATCTTAACTGTTATGGTAACATTTTTATCGCGATTAAAATTATTTATCTCCGCAGGTCAATAAAGCGGACTCTAGCTTCCTGAACAGCTGCCTGATAGCCACTATGGCATATCGTGCAAGCTTCTGGGCTACGTACCAGTCTCATGCGCACAGCCCGACGTAGTGCTCAGTTTAGTGCAATGATGCTCAGGAATTGAAATGAGTGATCTGTTAAAATGGGTGATCTATTACCGAGTATACCGAAGAGTACGTCGGCCAGCGAGGTAGATTATAATTGGAGTATCGGCCTCGATGCGTACAATACTGATGAGGAACTGGCTAATGTGGAGCTATTCAAGGATTACCCGGAGGGATTGCTGCGGTTTGCCTCCGTGTGCTGCGTCTTATTCATGCTTGTGGGAATTCCAGGGAATTTAATCACAATCGTCGCACTAGCGAGATGTAAAAAGGTAATAATATATTTATACTTATAAATAATGACTTAAAGAAATCTTTCCTCTTCTAATAATAATTTGGTCATTAAAATTTACTTATTTATAGATGAAGTTGAAATTTAATCCAAGTTATTTATAATTTTAATAACTAGATTCCATTTACAACATCGCTTTACAAAACGCCTAAAGAATGTCAATATAGCATGTATTCAATTGTTCTTACGTTCGATTCACCCGCTTACAATTTGGTGTATGGAATTTAATGATTTCATCTGAAATATACCTCATAAAGATATAAATTAAATTCCTCGCATACGAAATGAACCATTTATTACATAGATCAATAATTTTAAAACTGTTTGAAAAAAGTATTATTTAGTTACAATACAAATAATTCGAATAATATAATCGTACTCTGCTACTCGTATTATTATTTTAATTATACAGTCATTCTCATAATAATTGACAAAATATAGGTTATTTAAAGGAATTCTGCTATCTGTTTTACTTATAGAAGATTTATTTACACAAACCAAATATTGTAATAATAAATATAGGAAACCGTTATTTTTATTTTTTTGAATTTAATTATTATACTGATTTAAAATTGGATCTTATCTTAATAATAAGAATATCAATTTTTACTAGTATTTGTTATTAGTGATTTTAATTTAGAAAAAGTGCATAATATTCTGCAGAACTATGTATTATGAAGTACATATTACATGGTGCCGATATATTTTACTTGCAATAATAATATACACCAAAAATTTATATACAGATTGCAACTTCTAACACATAATACATATGACAGGGACTCGGTAGATATAAGTCATGGTATGGAACAGAGAAACTGTTAAGTTACTGGATAGTTTGAATAGACTTGTTTTCATAGCTTGTAGGGAATATAAATTGACCACCATTATATACGAGAACATGAATTATGTTCAATATTTATAATTTGCCTTCAATGAAATTAAACCAATAAATTCAATAACAAATTTTAACAAAACTAGGTTATATCGAATGTTTTGAGATATAAAATTCGTAGCTTCCAAAAGCATAAGAATTATCTCCAGTTGTTTCAGTTTCGTTTACATTAATAGAAATTCGTTTAAGATTCTGTTTAAGAAATAAATATTTATCAGAGATAAGGCACCCGGATCCCATAGAAGCTGGAACACATACATATTGTTTTCAAAAGTATATTTGAGATGATAAAATGTTATTTTATGTTAGCCCTGTCACATTAAAGATAACGCGGACATCAGAATGGACGGATAATGCACACAAAAAAGAAATGATAAGAGAAAATAATAATTGTTTGTGTTACAAATTAGATCTTTCATAAAAGAGGTACTTGTTTTTGATCGTAGTTTCTTGTTAACAAACAATAGTAGAAAAGTCATAAAAAATTTAAAATAAATTTTCTTTCACTTATTTCAGACGTTTATTGAAGCATCAATCAGCTAAGTTTGTAGTGTAAAAACTTAACAGTATTTAAACAAAAAAAACTATAATGTATACCTCACATATAGAGAAGTAAACTAATACGACTTTTTTATCGTTATTTTAAATGAAAACCTCTTGTTGGATCAAAGGAACTAAGAATAAAAAAAGGTATCATTTGCACTCCAGTAATTACGTTCGTACGCAATTTATCTCTTGTGCTCATCTGTTCATGATTAATTCTAAGTGTATTAATCTTACTTCAAACATATATACTAATTCCATAAAATATAAAATTATATCACATGCTCATATTATTATGATTACTCATAATGGGTGTTAAATTAAAAACAGGTATTGTCACTGTAACATTGTAAAAGATTTTTTTTATTATTATAAAGAATGACTGAAAATAACACTTCATTACGATAACAATAAAATCTTTACTTGTATTACTGATTAATGCTTCGTATATTAATGCTTTAAACCTGATCACGGTAATTTAAAAGTGCCTTAATATTATAGACATACCTTTTTTACTTTTAAAATATAATATTCAAAACTTGCCACTGCTAACTGCAGCCGGTATACAAAACATGTTAAATACTAAAGTGGACCTAGACCTAAAATATGTCTCAAGTTGTAACAATACCAAACAAGTTTTAAATCTTTATGTACATATTTGTGTATACATACATAAAGATTATTAATAGTCATTTTATCTTCTTTCCCCCTAGGTCAGTGTTCATTGTAGTCGTAATAAATACATACATTGACGAGGATGCCGATAACAGAGCCCGTTAGTTTATCTTTAACAAATATACAATTATATGAATGAATTATTTAACAACCAATTCATAAATTTTATCTCATGACGTGTTTTTTTTATTATTCATATCAGTAAAAGGTTTTCCTTTTTAACATTACGTACAAGAAATAGTACGGTGTTGTACTCGTAAGTGTACTTGTTACGCCTTTATACTTAAACTACGCAATTGTTTGTAATGAAACTTTGCACACGTGTCATCAAAAGGAAAATATTTTGTAAAATTAGACAAATATGTAATAATTTCAATGTCCGTAAAACTAAAGGCGTTTCAAAATGAAACAGTAACTGTGCAGATTGTAAGAACTATACACATACAGATGTAACCTTAATATTATATAGATTTAAAGTAATAACAAAATCATTTTGAGACAAAATTTCTTAACATTAAATGGATTTAAACCGTACAAGCTCCTCTTTCTACCTAATCAAATTTAAAAAATTGCGTTAAAAACCATTAATAACATTTGTTTCGTAATATGTAATGTATTAAAAATTGCAACTACAAACTTGTAATAACTACACAGGTGCGAAACGCTACTGCGGTTTTCATAATGAACCTGTCCTGCTCCGATCTTCTGTTTTGCTGCTTCAACCTGCCACTCGCTGCTTCTACTTTCTGGCAGCGGTCGTGGGCTCACGGAAAAACGCTCTGCCGAATGTTCCCTTTAGCAAGATACGCCCTTGTCGCAGTATCATTGTTTACTGTCCTAGCGATCACGATTAATAGATATGTCATGATCTCACATCCTCGATTATATCCTAAGTAGGTTATTTTTATATATATTTTTGTTTGTTTTGTTTATACCAATATTTAAACACCCATAACTATTTTTTTTAAATATATAACGAGAATATATTTATTTCAGACTCTACAAGAGAAAGTATTTAGCAGTCATGGTTGCGAGCACATGGGCCTTTTCATTCGGTGCACTGATTGCAACGTGGCTGGAGAAATGGGGACGCTTCGGCTTGGACACCTCAATAGGGTCTTGTTCTATACTCCCAGACAAAAACCACCGCTCACCAAAGGAATTTCTTTTTGTTGGAGCGTTTATGCTTCCTTGTCTAGCTATCGTAACATGCTATGCTAGGATATTTTGCATAGTAAGAGAAGCAGCCAGGAGATCACGCGCTCCAGGTCACGGAAGACCACGGCCCGGTTTGGAAGATTCCGCTGTAGGATCTGCTTCTACAGCCCTAGAACGGTCTCCTGGTACCGAAAATGGCTATCATTCTGTGTCATCAACGAAAAAAGCCTTACTTGCGCCTCCAACTGTACATTGTCCATCGACACCAGGCCCTGAGCGATCTTCATCTTCAGGAGTAGATACACTAGATGGTCATGATGACGAATGCGCTCTTGATGCGAAGCCTAGAACGCCAAATAGTGGAGACACTGCTAAAAGACTACGTCAAGCTGCTGTGGTACTTAGACGTTCCCCTGCTCCCGTTCGACCTCCACGACTAACACCTAAGGACAGGAAACTCTTGAAAATGATAATGGCAATAATGCTCTCGTTCTGGGTCTGCTACCTGCCTATAACTTTGACAAAGTTATTTAGAGAATTCACGTCGCACCCAGCAGCAAACATCGCAGCTTACATTCTCATATACTTGACGACCTGCATCAATCCCATTATATATGTAGTCATGTCTAGTGAATATCGGCAAGCATATAAGAATTTGTTGATGTGTAGAAAAAGAGCGTGACGTTCACCCGGCGATGGGGTTTCTGAGAAGCCCCCGCCGTGAATATCCATCAATACTCAAAGTGAAATAGTTGTACAAAGGACTCAATATTTAATGGAGATAACCGGACTTTGAACTCGTTTGTGACATACGTGAGTCATAACATGAAGCAAATCATTCGTCTCAATGTCAAAATTTGTATGTAAATTAGTTGTAATCGCGAGCCGTCCGGGATTGAGCTAAATGAATGTGAATATGATTTAAAAATACAACACCTATTATAAAAGAAAAGTGATATTGAACAAAATTTCAAAATGTTATAAATCTAAATAATAATAATAATAAATTTATATATTATATTATGGTATAAATGTTAGAAAAATTTGTAATTTTATAATTGATATTTGATATACCGTTGAATGTTAAAATGGTAAAAACCATTAAATATAATAACATGTTTGGTAGAGGAATAATATTACGTCATTACTGTAGCATTGCTATTAAGCTTCCTCAAGATATGTAAGCGGAAGACGTAGGTGTACGAAATATCATAATATAGGTAAAGACAGTTGCACTAGTGTGCTATAAATTTTTTTTTTACTTTCTTTCCGTTATGTACTCACATGTAATGTCACAGATAACTGTAAAAAAAACAATTCGAACAAAAAATCATCATGTACGGACAAAATCCGACTCACAAATCTGAGTCATAAAGGAAACTAATTCTAGGAAAAGTATTAACGCGATGATGTTTATACAAACACGCATTTGTAGTACAATAACTGTAGATGTACGACGTGCAAATGTATTTGTAAATTTCAGTGAAAATGAATTTACAAAGTGAAGTGTTTGTGAATGCAAGTGTTAGGTTAACTGATGCTCAGTTGGCTTCATTGGATTTGTTTAAAGGTTATCCGGATGGATTGCTGAAATTTGCTACAGCCTCTTGCATTATATTCATGCTAGTTGGAATACCAGGAAATATTATAACAATCGTCGCATTGGCGCGCTACGAAAAAGTAAGTAGATAAACGATAGATTTAAAATTGATCACTATAAAATTATCATTTAGGTTACCCGAATAGATATATTATATTTTATTTGATAATGATAACCAAAATATTTTAAGCACACATACATGTAATGTGACAAATACTGTGTGACGGTTCTAATTTAATGCTAATCTTATTAACAGAATCTTTAAAATATGTTAAAATTGTCACTTTCTTGCGAAATATATTAAGATACAAAAATGTATTTCACCTAATCTCCAAAGCCATCATACATGATAAATTCTATTGAAGCTTTCATCTGGTGTAATATGAGCCGATATTTGCAATATAGTATTCATATTTATTTCTCCATTGTAGTTACGTTTTGCATGGCTATAATAAATAAACTGCATATCCACTAATTATATTTGTCTCTTAACTACATACTTGTAACGATTATGTCAAAGAAGAAGCGGCTTAAACTAATGTGTTTTTGGAAATAGATAAGCTGTATTTACATTGAATTGATAATATCACATGTTTTTACAGCTACTATAATGAAGATAAAAAGTATGAGTATTGCAAATAAATGAATAAATGTTAATTTCTTTTCAAATTTTATACATAAAGTTAAAAAGTAAGTTGTAATAAAAGTTTTAATACAGTTCATTTTAGAGCGACTTACATATAATTTAAGTTTTAGCCAAATTTAATTTCTTAGTGTCTCATTCAAAATAATGATTTATTATGAATAATTATTATTATGATGACGCAGATTGGTTTAACCAATGATGCTATCACAATAATTTGTTTATTAAGTTTTCCCTATAAAATGATCCTTTGACCGAGTTACCACAGCTGTAAATTCAGTATGTAAGCAGATTATAAATAAATTTTCTCTTAGTGTAATAAAAACGTAAAAACGACTTCACGTGAATTTTTTAATTAATGCTTCACATCTTAAATTTATTGTATATAATATTATTTTATACATCAGGATGTTAATAGATTAAAGAGCGCTTATAAACTACGCAAATACTGATAAACTACGGAAGAAAGCATAAACAATATCTACTTAAATTATAAATATTATACTTGTTATTTAATTAATAGTCCAATATATATGTTTAGACCAAGTTAGCAACGTCACAATACACACGAATCATTTCCAGTTTCTCAATTAATAACCTACGTAAATACTATGAAACACTGCAAACCCTCTTTATCTAATGTAATGACGCCAAGTTATGGTAAGCAGACAGATTTTGCTGTTACAAATGAGATGAGTTACTAAGTTGTACATTCCTAGAATCTTTTTGGGATTCTCTATAGTGAGTATCCATCAAAAGATATTAGATCACTTTGAAAAATTAGGCAGTTTAGACTCTGCTCTCCGTACCTTCTCGGTAGAGATTTCAAATTTACCTCCATTTCCAGGAGGCTACGAGTTTTCATAGACTTTGAGACTAAAATTGACACTCAGTGAATGTTCTGACAACACTGAGAGATGAAATTGCAATAGTATCTTTCCTGATTTTTGCAAGTAAAGACCTAAGTACATTTTTTACAGACGTTGGAATTTAGACTTTATGTACATCCAATAGGGATGAAATTTTCAGTAAAGTTCCTCCGCTATAAAGCATCAACTGTCACATAAAACTTGTTCTATTGCCACTTTTTCCTTTGTAGAGGAAAATCCAAATTAATATCTACCATTCATTCATTACTAGGGGTATGCATTTTAAAATATTCTTAATTAATAAATAAAAAATTTGGACATTACTATCTTGTAAATAATAAAAAATGTTATTGTGAAACATAAAATATATCTCCGAGAAGCAACTGTAATTGATTATTTTCAATTTCCATTTCATAGAACTACTTTTCAACGAGATAAAACTCTTACAAAAAATAAAAGATTTATGTAATGATTGAATTTTTTTTGTACAATTCTTGGTTATACAAGATAGCCGGTCTCAATGTTTATTTTATATATTATGCTATTTCGTTTTATAGAGAATTCAATGGCATTGTATAGGGAAAATGCTTGTCACGGTAATCACTGACAAATGTTCTACTATTTTTTATTGACATGAAAATAGAATCGGCAATAAAAAAGACGTACTGTATTTATATATGTTATTTCTTTTGTGTTCATTTATAAGTCTTTTACATATATATGTAGGTTATTATGTGTCGTGAGTGTGTTCATTGATATTTTATTGACATTTTCTTTTTCAGATACGAAATGCAACAGCGATATTCATCATGAACCTATCCTGTTCGGATTTGCTTTTCTGTTGCTTTAATCTGCCGCTCGCCGCTTCTACCTTTCATCGACGAGCTTGGGTCCATGGCCACCTTCTCTGCAAAATGTTTCCTCTCACAAGATACGCACTAGTTGCAAACTCGTTGTTCACCGTGCTATCAATAACTATAAACAGATATGTAATGATTGCTCACCCAAAATTATATACCAAGTAAGTTATTTTCCTATTTTCTTACTATATACAATAAAGATTTTAACTGACTTGCAGAAATTCATGGAAAACAGATTTAATGTATTCGATGTACATACATATTTGTGCAAAAAAAATGTTATTAGGAACATGCAACGCTATTATAATATAATGTATTAATAAAATAACTGTTACTTAGAAACTACTAGTTACAATAGAAGTGTTTAAAGTAAGGCTGTTTTCTTTTACAGGTTGTACAAAAAGCGGAACATAATTATAATGATAGTTTTTACATGGATGTTTTCTTTTGGAATCATGATTCCTATTTTACTTGAAAAATATGGTCGATTTGGGTTGGACCTGAACATTGGATCCTGTTCTATTTTGAATGATTATAAGAATAGATCTCCTAAGAAGTTTCTGTTTCTAACTGCATTCATTTTACCTTGTATAGCAATAATATTATGTTATACAAGAATATTTTTCATCGTCAGAAAGGCGACTAAAAAATCCTTAAATACTCAGAAACAAGTACCTAACCAAGAGGAATCTTCTTCAGCTGATTTGTCAACATCTATATCAGTACGTGTCACTGGTGAGACTAGCTGCAATTATAACGTGGAGCCAATCAATAATACTAAAACATCACTAAAAAATATTTTTACCAATGACCGTTCGACTACATTTAATATGGAAATGTCAGACAATATTATACGACATCCAGAAGATATAGGCAAAGAACCTTCTAGACTTCGGCGAACAGCGTTAAGAAAATCTATGGCTCTTCTTAAAATGTCTCTCCCAAGCCGTAAGGATAGACGTCTAGGAACAATGATAATTGCTATTATGATAACATTCTGTTTATGTCATTTACCAATAACAATAATCAAAATGGTACGTGAAATAAACCCATACCCAGTACCAAACATTATAGCCTACATTCTCTTGTATTTGTCATCGAGTATAAATCCCGTCATATATGTCGTTATGTCGAACGAGTATCGTAAGGCTTATAAAAATCTATTCAAACGGAGAAAGAATTCGCTCTCTATAAATAAAATCCATTGTAACCGTAAATAATATTAAACGTCATAGAGGCATATGAAACCCAATACTCGTGTTATTATTTAGGTTTAAATGAGATGCGTGTTTTGAATGTTTTGTAAATATTAGTTGAATTTAGAAACGTTATGTTTGGGGATTGCAGAATGTTATGATCACTGACTGTGTTATGTGTTACTTGTGTAGGTAGGTTAATCTCGTAGTGCTTCTCAGTATTTATATTCTGCGTAAGTTTAAATTAATTAAGAAATATATTATATGTTGATTGAAGTATTATTAAGAATCCTATATGACCAATGGGGCCCAAAGAATGAATGTATTTACATTCCGCTTTTAGTATATAGTTCACTAAATTACACTTTTTAAGTTATGAAAATGTATCATTTTCTTTTAAATATTTTTCTTTCTCAAACCAGTGGGATTATAGATTATAAAATTATTATTAATTACATTTAGTAATGATGTGTGTGACTGACTACAATTTAAGCTTTACTTTGCCTATTACCAAAATGAATATACAAATTATTAGTGTAAAATAATTATTAAATTAGGCTCAGGTTCAATTGACATCTGACAAGAATATTAATTTAAAAAAAAACGTGTATACGGACGGATGATGTGCACATATTTTTTTATTTATTTTCTTAAATTTAGCAATAAAGAGTGTTGAGGAACAATAAAATTATAGAGCAATGTAATTAATAACTTAAAAAGTTGTAACTCAATTTAGAATTGTCATTAAGTGAATGATTTAATATATATAAGAGATAATTATAAATGTTATATACAAAATAAAAATATTTAGCACAGATTTGTAATTTCATAACTATGAATGTCGAATACACGACTGTAATACCAGGTGCTTCTTTGGATTTGATCTCAAATTTTACATACATTATAAATTGTAGATATTCATTTTTGTTAAAATTAAAATGTATTGATGACCTATTAATAATAATAGGCTGCCATAAAGGTAAATTCGATTATTATTTGCATTGTTATATGAAAAAAGTTGAAGCATTATAAAATTTATTGTTAATTTTATATGTGGTATATATTTACTGAACTTATAAAGTTAAGATATTAATATAAGAAGATCTAAAAATACTCTCAACAAGTAGTATAAGTTTAACTATAGTTCCAAAGAAATAATCAAAGTTGAATCTTACATTTTTTATAGCATAAGTGAATTAATAATGATGGGGATAAGTCATATTTAAGTGATATAATTAGTTATATATTTTATAAGAAACCTTACTCTGGTTACAGTATTGTATTATTTGAACATGTTCTCCTACATCATAAGACCCCAGCCATTGTACTTACCAAAGATATAATAAAATAAAATTGAATGATATTAAATGACTAGTCTTGCTTTTTATATAAACCTATATTATCCTTGTTCACAAGATTTTTCTTTTAAATCCTATTGTTAAGTAAAGAAATATATGTATGTATGATAATTTTGATTTATATAAGTATTATAGATGTCAGTTTATTTTCTTGTATGAACCTAAAATCTATTTGGATCAAAAATACCTTTATATATTTTCATGTCCAAAGATGGCATCTGCTAAGAAACTGAATTGAATAACTTGATACGTCGATATTGGTTTTAAATGTCAGTTTTTAGGTCAACAAAAATTGGTAAGATCTTGAGAACTTCGTCTGATTTTTCCATGACGTTACTTTTTTAGGTCCCTTGAAATAAACTTTGATAGATTTTTTATTTTTATTTTACAAAGATAATCTACACAAATAATATACGCAGCGTTAAAGACGAACCGAAATAAATATATATACAATACCATTTCATTGTACATATATTACGACTACATAAATTCATATATACACGATTAAATTATATGAAATTATTATAGAGGCTGAATATATATTGAACTTAACGGAGCAATAGATACATCGTAGATTTAATAAAGCAAACAAGTTTTTTTATTTTTCATTTAATGTGACTATAACAAAAAATAAAAGTAAAAAATTAAGACTTTTTCAAGATATTTTTATAATTTTATACTTTTACTGATATTTTTATTCAAAACTGAATTGAGTGCTTTGCTAAAGCAAATCTTCTTTAAATATCACTGATTTTATCTACGTAACTGTATTGGTTTCTCTTAGCTCTACCTTTATATATACAAAGATATTGATCAATTCCATAATAGGCTATGGAATCAGCTGCCTCGCGACGTATTCCCAATCCATTGCGACTTAGGGTGTTTCAAGAAAAGAGCGTACTTATTTTTGAAAGGCCGGCAACGCACTCTGGTGCCTTCAGGCTCCTCGAGTATTCTTGGGCAGCGATGACTATCTCCCACCAGATGGCTTGGCTTGCCCGCTCGTTTGCCCCCTATGTTATAAAAAAAAGGCTTTCTTACTTATCCCGAACAACTAAGACTATGTAAATAGAAAGAATCCAACATATTTCATATCAAAATTATGGTACATATAAGAACTTTATGCCTTTCTGTTTGTTGCTTTATCAAGATTTGACAGCAAAACCAATATATCACAAATTTGGATTGGAAATTTCTACGACATTATAAAAGAAAATACGCATTTTAGTTATGATAATCAAGATTAAACCAGCTGAACGTATATATTTCTATTTGAGGTGTTTTCAGGCTGATATACTTGTTTAAAGTTGGGGACTATAACTAAAATAGCTATTTAAACAAATTAATTAAGCTACTATAACACTAGGTATAGTTTTGTTACACCATCAAGTTTGAATCAGATTTACAAATCCCTCTAATAAATTACTTTAAACATTAATATACATCGTAAGTTTCTAGATTAAAAACACTAAACAATAAACATTATGAAAAAAAATTACACCAACAAACAAATTGTAAAAAAAACCTTATATCGGTGTACAAAAAATATAATAATTATTTTATGTTAAATATGTATGCTTATTTATTCATATTTGTCAAAAATTAAACGATTTTAAATTAACTTTCTGTCAAAGATTTTAACATTTCAACAAATATTAAGCTATGATTGGTTAATTAAGAAATATTAATAAAAGTAGTTAGTTATATATAATACATTATCTTTCCATTTGAAGTAAGACTATAACTATGTTATAAAGGTAATTATATACATACATTTAAACCTATATATTGAAAGTAGCACTACTTATGTACTTATGTAGTAAAGTATAAACGAGATTGAGAACAAACTTAAATTAACCGTTTATAAACTGTATCAAAAAATATATAAATCTCCCGTACTTCGACAACTGAAAATAATGTTATTATCATATTATTGTGTGATTATATTCTACTGTTTTTGATCGAGTTACTTTTTGACAGTCTAGACGCCAGAATTCCCCTGTAGGTCTCATGTTATTCGCAGGAGACGCTCCAGGCGTTGGGGATCTCTCTGATGATCTCCAGCCACCGTAAGCGCGGGTCTGCGGACGGCAAGCAAGGGTAGCTTGCCGCCCGATCAGAACCAAACCCGAGAGTACGGCGCGTAGCGTACCGCGCGCGCCTCAAAGAACCATCGGACCATTACAGATGGGGCCCTAGAGCCGATGCCTGGCCAGGTCGCGGGTGCAAGCGCAATGATGTACCGTGGCCAGGCTCGGAGCAGGAGTAGGTACAGGGGGTTTTTAGTCAGTAAGAGTCTGACACTCCCTCTTGCCCCATCCAGGCAAGAGGGGTCATTTGATGATTTTCCCCTTAAAAAAAAGGTCTCATGTTATTTCTTTGTCCCTATTCTAGCCTTAAAGATATCCAAATTTTAATTTTAAGAAAACAGATAGGCAAACTATTCCAATCCTTTGCTGTAAACATGAGAAAGGAGGAAATGTATGTCTCTGGATGTGAGGAGACGCTACAATGAATGGATTGAGGTATTTATTACCACCACTTATTTGTGTTTTAAAGACTGTGTGTCGAAGTTAAATAAATTAACTGTGAATTTTCATCATAAATGCAAACAAATAAAACGAAAAAAATACACGAACACGACGTCTTACATTTCCAATTCATGAAAATGTTTTATATGGTTTGATAAAAATTTTTAATCATCGACTACAATTATACATACAAAAATTTTGCTATGTAGTGAACTCAAAATGTTGTAAATTGATTAATTACGACTTCGATGGAACTGCTACAATATGTTGCTCCAACATTTCAATTTAAATTATAGAGTCAATAAAGCACTGGCAAAAATGTGAAAATTAAAAGTCAATCATTAATTAACATTGTAATAACAAATTAATTAATGAACCGTTTCCAGATATCATATATCTGAGCTCTTAATATCTTGTAAAGGGTTATATGTAATATCTTGTAAATTTTTTACAAAATACCAACCCTAAAATATATAAAAATATACAAATACCTCCATAAATTATGACTGAATGTAATTTTAATTTACTTTTCACCACCAGAAAGTGACAGATTTATTTTTAATTACCTGAAAACTGTGGTACAAAATTGGCCATTATATATTTTAACCTCCACAACTTTCATACAATTTAGAGGATGTCGAAAGTATGAATGCATGTTAATTTACTATTATTCCGATAATTTGAAATATATGCCAACTTAGAAGACTAAAACAGTAAAAGAAAATTACATTGAAATTTTATAAGACAAAAAACACTTTAAAATGTAGTTTCTACTTTTGAACTCACATAACTACATTCCTACAAACAACTTCAAGGAATATTTTTATTATTGGTTACCACACACTCGTACATGGTAATGATATCTTGAATTACTTAAATACAAGTATTTACTAAGAATTCATATAGTTTTCCACATATAAATTAATATTTATATGAAATTGTTTGGAATCATAACTTCAGATTTATTTTTATTGCCTTATTATATATTGATTATTTTTCGATTTGAATTTAATCTTTAATTTCTCAACTCAACATTATCTTCTCTTTAATCATGTCTCAATTATCAATATTATTATTAATTTTTTTCTTGAAATAAATAATAATTATAAATTGTATTTATGTTTTTTTATTGAAT